AGCGGCGTAGGAACGAGCGAGGGTCCGGTCCCTGAGCGCCTCGGAGCCTCAGCCCAGTGTCCCCGCTTAGTCTCCTTGAGGTCGTGTAGAGCTATCCAAAGGCGGAGCCATGAGAGCTTTTCGGTGGGTGCCCTTATGGGAGGGGGCTGTAGGTACCCCGGTTTTGGGAGAGTCGGTGTTGAAAGGAAGAGCAGCTAATACTCTGACCCTCAGTTTACTGCTAAGAAACGGGGATGAGTGGTCCATTGGGCCTGGAGGCTCCTTACACAATAGGGGCAAAGGGTTGTTCGTCTAAGCGTGCACCGCCTCCCTCCCCCCATTTCCTCCGCTGGCTACTGAGTAGATAGACGAGGCCCCCAGAGGAAGCTGGAGATCAGGAGCTAGTTCATTTTACCATAGGAGGTGGGGAGGGCAGCCTCAAGGTTACTCTGTTGTTCTCTTGGGAAGCAGAGGCAAGCTGGCATTTTTGTGCATGAGCTAAATAAGGGTAAGGAGCCTGGACTTTCCGTTCTGCGTACAGGCGGTATAGCCTGCAATGGGGCCTATCCTGCTTGATGAACCACCAAGAGTGAAAGCCGCTTCCTGTTTTAGGGGTGGGTTCCCCACATGTGGGGTGGCTTCACACTAGCCTTGGGTCCCATCCAAGTCCTCTATGGTACAATACTTTCCTGTGGATGTTAACATCTGCCTGCCTCTGAGCATAGAGTTAAGTACTGGAGTTCTTTTTTCCCAATCCAGGTCAGGTCAAGTTCTTTCCTACCCTCAAGGTCAGTTTTGACTTTTCTACAGAGGGAAAAATCTTTGGGGAAACCCTGCTGTTCACTTTGTTATTGGCAATGTGGCTGTTTTGGCCCCATGGGTCTACAGAAAATGAAAGTGACTGATACTGAGAGAGGGCTGAGCCTAGAATCAGTTCCTTGAAGCCCGAGTACAGGCTGGGACCTTGGGCTTCATCATCTGTGAAGAGCTTGTATCTGTGTCCAATCACTTAGTTTGCCCAGCCTCCCAGGGAGGCTGGAGGATAGGGACCTCCACCCCTCACACTATCTGGAGGAGGAAATTGAGGTTGCCAGAGAGGGAGTAATTCTATAAGGTCAGCTTCAAGAGCCCTGGAGGCAACTCCCCCAAGAGCTTTCTCCTGCTCTCTCAAATAAAGAAATTGTTGATTTAAATAATCGCGGAAGGCTGTGCTGTCGTTTCCATCGTCAGGATGATGAATAGTCTGTACATAATTTTTTCATCCAACTTATGACAGTTAATAGGTTCTTGTGTAGTCTTAGCTTCTTCCATGCATCCAAAAGCTTGTGCGTGTATGTGTATGTATGTGTTTTTTCTTACTCACTGAACCTGCCTGGCTGCTGCTTGCTGTCTAATTCATCCGTATTGTCTCCCGATGGATGCTTGGCTGAAGTGAACCTCAGGTGTAGGTGAGCCTCAGGTGTAGAACAGAAAGGGTGAGGGGCTGAGGAGGGCCATGGTCACTTGCGCTTGACTCAAAGAAAATGCAGGACATTGGAGAGTGGCTATACTAGCGTGGGGAGCCCTTTAAGGACATCTGAGCTGACACCCCGAGTTGTAAGAAGAGCCTCCTGGCCTAGTACAGCCAAGCTTTAACAAGGCTTCACTGACACCGCCAAGGAGCAAAGCGCCAGAAGGGAAACCAACGCGGGGAAAATTCGGTCACTGCCTTAAGGGGGTCACAGTCTAGCAGGATGAGGATACTAAAATCCCCATAAATATGGAAAATTGGGTGCTCATGTGTTGTCTCTTTGGAAGCTGTTGGAGAAATAGAAGCTTTGTTTTTGTATAGGTGTTTGCTGGAGAGACAGAGAGAGAGAGAGAGACAGAAAATGAGAAATGGAGGAGTCCGACCCGGTAGGGCAGGCTGGACCCCGGCAGAGAAATCACCCCCCAGGTGGATGACCACGCTGCAATTCCTTGTCCTCCACTCTCCTCTTGGGATCTTGGGCATGCACGCACATGTGCCCGGCATGAGTTTTAAGCCGTTTGGTCTGGGACTTGAACCAAGGCCAACTACATAGGAGTCCAGCAACATAACCATTATGCCATCTGCCGGTCCCAGAATAGGAGCTGTTTTTTTTTTTTAGAGACGTTTTTGCTATAGGACGCGTGTGCTAGCCAGACAGACAGAGAGAGACAGAAAGCGAGAAATCACCCCCAAGGGGGGATGGCCACGCCGCAATCCCTTCTACTCCATTCTCCTCTCAGGATCTTGGGCACGCATGCACACGTGCCCAGCGTGAGTTTTAAGCCACCGGGTCCGGGATGCGAACCGCGGTCGACTACGTGGGAGTCCAGCGACATGGCCATTACGCTAACTGCTGGTCCCCCAGAATAGGAGCTTTAAAAGCAGGCTAGGGTGGTGGTTATGGTTGGCTCTGCAGTCCTAGGCCTGGGGGATAGATTTAACCCCTGTCCCTTGCTAGCCATGGGACCTGAAGCATGCTTAACCTTTCTGTGCCACTATTTTCTCACGAGTTGTTCTGTGGGTTAAATTAACAAAAAGTATAGCAGGACCAGCAGGTGGTGTGGTGGTTAATGCTCTGGACTCCCACATGGCCAATCACTCTTTGAGTCCTGGACTTCAGTCATGGGCCCCTGTGCATGCCTGGCCAAATCCTGAGGGGGAATGGAGGAGGAGTGGCGATGTGGACATCCCCTCTGGGAGGGATTTCGCACTTCTCTCTGACTCTGTTTTTCTCTGGTGTACGCATGGACCCTGTAGCAAAAACCTAAATTAAAAGGTGTTGTTTGGGGGCTGGCAGGTGGCATGGTGGCTAGGGGCGCTGGACTCCCCCACATGCTGACCGCAGTTTGAGTCCCAGACCTGGTGGCTTGATTTCTCACTTTCTCTCTCTCTGTCCCTCTCTGGTCAAATTAAAATAAATAAATAAATAAATAAATAAAGTAAAATAATTATTTTTTAAAAAAAGGTGTTGTCTGAATGGCAGAACGGCTGGCATGTTGAGAGTCAGTGAATAAAGTTTTTTTTTTTTTTTTTTTTTAGATTGTGCGTGTGCTCGCTGGAGAGACAGAGAGAGACAAACAGAAAGTGAGGAATCACCCCCAAGGAGGGCTCACCATCCTGTAATCCCTTCTCCATTCTTCTCTTGGGATTTTGGGTACGCACGCACACATGCCTGGCTTGAGTTTTAAGCCTCCAAGTCTGGACTAGAACCATGGTTGACTATCTGGGAGGCCAGCAATGTAACCAATACGCCATCTGGATAGGTATTCTTTTTATCTCAAAAGGGGGACACAGGCTCAGGAAGCCAATGACTTGGGTTTGTATCTCAGCTCTGCCTCTGGGTGGTGCTGTGTGACTGTAGGTACATTCCTTAACCTTACTTAACCTCAGTTTTCCTATCCGTAAGTTGGAGATAGTTATGGTACCTGTCTTAGGGCTATTTTGAGGATTTATATCTTTTTAAGAAATATATTTATTTGTTTAATTTTGTTATTATTTTAAAGATTATTTAATTTAATTTAATTTATAATTATTATTAGTTTTAATTTGACCAGAGAGAGACAGAGGGGAAAGTGAGAAAGCAGTCCCGCCAGGTCCTGGACTCAAACCATGGTCAGCCATGTGGGAGTCTAGCACCTCAACCACCATACCACCTGCCAGCTTTATTTGACCAGAGACAGACAGAGGGAAAGGGAGAGAGCAAGCCACCAGGCTGGGTACCTGAGCTGTGGTTGACTATGTGGGAGTCCAGCACCTTGACCACCATGTCCCTTGCCGGCTCCCACAATCCTTTTTTTTTGTAATAGGTTTTGAAAGTGAGAAATCACCCACCTCCCAACCCCTACCCCTGGAGAATGGCCATACTGTCATCCCTTTTCTTCTGTTCCCTTAGGATTTAGGCATGCTTGCACACGTGCCTGGCATATTTTCCTAGTCTCTGTGTTTGGGGCTCTCTTGTACATTCCCCCATGTGGGATCCAGCTGCCTTAACTGCCATACCACCTGCTGGTCCAATGAGAATTAATATATTTTTTTTCTTTTTAAGAGAGATTTTTGCAATAGAGTATACATGCTTGCAAGAGACACAGAGAGAGACACACAGAGAAAGTGAGAAATCACCCCACCCCACCCCACCCCTGTGGGGATGGCAGTTTTGGGCACGTACAAATGTAAGCTCACAAAGGGGGTGGTTTACCTTTGGGAGCCCAAACTATGGGAAGCTGGGTCATTGTGAGGCATTGTTTTTGCCTTTCAATTCAGCCCAAAGAGATGCAGGTTCTGGAACAGCATTTAAAATCTTTTAATTTTTTTGGAGAGGTTTTTGCTATAGGGCGCGTGCGTTTGTGTGTTTGCCAGAAAGACAGAGACTGAGAGATGGAAAGCAAGAAATCACCTCCCAGTGGGGATGGCCACGCCGCAGTCCCTTCTCCTCCATTCTCTTCTTGGGATCTTGGGCACGCACGCACACGCGTCTGGCATGAGTTTAAGCCACTGGGTCCAGGACTTGACCGTGGTCTACTACATGGGAGTCCAGCGACATAGCCATTACGCTAGCTGCTGGTCCCAAGCAATTAAAATCTTAAAAGAGTGTTTTTGCTTTGGTTTAATTTGAGCAATGCTAATTAATGTTTAGTTAGCAGGTTACTTTTTTACTTGTTAGACTCCGAGTTCTAGAATGGGCCTTTATAGATCCCTGTGCTCAGCTCTGTCATTTTACAAGTAGGGAAAATGAGGCTCTCAGGGGGTAGAGCCCTTGACTTTTTTAAAAACAGGTTTTGAAAGTGAGAATTAAAAAAAAGATTTTTTTTTTTAGAGGTTTTTGCCTGAAGGTGTGTGTGCTCCCCGGGAGAGAGAAAGACAGACACAGTGAGGGAATGTAAAAAATCATTCCCGGGGGGCATGGCCTCTCTGCAATCCCTTCTCCTCCACTATCCTCCTGGGATTTGGGGCATGCATGCACACACACCTGGCGTGACTTTCAAGCCACCAGGTCTGGGACTTGACCTGTGACTGGCCATGGGGGCATCCAGCGATGTAACTGCTCTGCCGTCTGCTGGTTCTGGAGGGACCTTGACCTGCTGAGGGAGCAGAAGGCAAGTGGTTGGAAGGGGGAAAGTGATGTGGAGGTGCAGTGTCAGTGCAACTGGGCCGGTGAAGGAAGGCCCGGGTTCTGTGTTTACATCTCTACCTGGACCTCCCTGAGCACGCTGGGCACGTGCCAATTTGCCCATGATCCGGAGTGACTGATACTGGGGGTGGTCTATGGCATGAAGACCCTGTTTGGGGTACCTCTCTTTTTGTCTTTCAAATGGAAGACATAAATGAATTTTAAAAACCTTAAAAAAAGTCAGAATTCAAAAATTCAAAAATAGGATGGCAACTGGTGGGTGATTTCCCTTCCAAGTATTCTTGTCGCTGTGTTGTTTCCCATGGCTCCGCCAAGATTTGGCTTATATTCTGTCAAGAGATAATTTGGTTTTTTTGGGAGAGATTTTTGTTATAGGGCTCATGTGCTCACTGGACAGACAGAAAGTGAGAAATCACCCCCAGGGAGGGTGGCCACACTGCAATTCCTTCTCCTCCATTCTACTTTTGGGAGTTTGAGTGTGCACACATGCACCCGGCATGAGTTTCAAGCTCCTGGGTCCGGAACTCAAAATGTAGTCAACCATGTGGGAGTCTAGCGCCTCAATCGCTAGTCCACCTGCTGGCCTCGCCATCATAAAAATTAATCATAACAGGACCAGCAGTTGGCGTAATGGCTATGTTGCTGGTCTCCCATGTAGTCGACCATGGTTCGAGTCCCAGACCCGGTGACTTAAACTCATGCTGGGCGTGTGTGTGTGTGTGTGTGTGTGTGTGCGCGCGCCCAAGACCCCAAGAGGAGAATGGAAAAGGGATTGTGGATGGCCTACCCACGAGGGGAGTTATTGCTCGCTTTTTGTCTCTCTGTCTCTCTCTGTCTTTCTGGCAAGAGCACGTGCCCTGTAGCAAAAATCTCTCCAAAAAAAAAAGAAATTAATTAATCATGGCATCAGTGTGGGCTCCTTCAGGATGTTGAAATAAAGTTGAAGGACACAGCAGGTGACAAGTGGTCTGTTAAGAGTCTGACACTGAGGGGCCAGCAAGTGGTGTAGTGGTTAAGACACTAGACTCAGGTCATCGGATCTGGCAGCTTGAGACTCACACTGGGCGTGTGTGTGTGCATACCTAAAATCCTAATAGGAGACTGGAGAAGGGTTTGCAGTGTGGCCATTGCCCCTGGGGCAAGGATTTCTCGCTTTCTGTCTCCATCTCTCTCTGTCTTCAGCAAGCGCACATTGCCCTGTAGCAAAAGTCTCCCTCAAAAAACAAACAGAATCTGATATCGAGGAGCCAGCAGGTGATGTGGTGGTTGAGGTGCTGGACTCCCACATGGCCAACTACCATTTGAATCCTGGACCTGGTGACTTGCTTTCTCACTTTCTCCCTTGCGCCCTATGGGAAAATGTAAATAATAATAATAATAAAAAGTCTGACATTGGCTGGGCCAACAGGTTGCATAGTGATTACAGCATAGACTCTCACGTGGCTAACTGTGGTTCGGGTCCCAAACCTGGTGACTTGAAAATCACACTGGGTGTGGGAACCAGCGGTTAGCATAATGGCTATGTCGCTCAACTCCCACGTAGTCGACCGCGGTTCGCGTCCCGAATCCGGTGGCTTAAAACTCATGCTGGGCGCATGTGCGTGTGTGCCCAAGATCCCGAGAGGAGAATGGAGGAGAAGGGATTGTGGCGTGACCATCCCCTCTGGGGGGTGATTTCTCGCTTTCTGTCTCTATGTCTCTCTCTGTCTGTCTGGCGAGCGCACGCGCCCTATAGCGAAAACCTCTCCTCTGCCCCCCCCCCAAAAAAAAAAAATCACACTGGGTGTGTGTGCCCAAAATTCCAGGAAGATAATGGAGGATTGTGATACGACCATCTTGGGCGTTAATTTCTCACTTTCCCTCTCACTGTCTCTCTGGTAATCAGCATGTGGCATGGAGGTTAAGGCACTGGATCCCATATGGCTAACTGTGCGATTTAGGTCCTGGAGTGGCTTGAGAACGTGCTGGGTGCATGTGCCCAAAATCCTGACAGGTGGATGGAGGAGAAGAGATTGTGGCGTGGCCATCCCCCCAGGTGGTGATTTCCTGTTTTCCCTTTCTCTGTCTCTCTCTGGCGGGTGCACATACCTTACAGCAAAAAAAAAAAAAAAAAAAGAAAAAGAAAAGAAAAAGTCTGACATTGTAGAGCAGTGCTGTCTTCTAGAATTTTCTCTACAGTGACAGGAATTTTCCCTGTCTACACTGGCTGCATGTGGCTGTTGAATGTTTGAAATGTGGCCTGATGCGGGAGTAGCTGATTTTTACTTGACTAAAACACTTTTTATTTTATTTAAAAAATGAATTATTATTGGGTTGTTGGAAAAGTCATGACACATTTCTGCATAGAAAAAATACATCATTACCTTTCCAACCACCTGATAGTTTTTAAAGATTTTAAATAAATAATTAATTAATTATTATATTTTCCTACAAACATTTACTTTACATATTAAAAAAATTTGCTCATACTTCATAGTTCTTGACAGTTAAAACAACTTTTTTTTCCCCTATTTTTGGAGAGGTTTTTGCTATAGGGCACGTACGCTCGCCAGACAAGAGAGAGACATAGAGACAGAAAGCGAGAAATCACCCCCAGGGGAGATGGTCATGCCGCAATCCCTTCTCTCGGGATCTTGGGCATGCACACACACGCACCCGGCGTGAATTTAAGCCACTGGGTCCGGGACTCGAACCGTGGTCGACTATGTGGGAGTCCAACGACATAGCCATTACGCTAACTGCTGGTCCCAACAGTTAAACAACTTTCAAAATTAAAAAAAACTGAATTTTAAAGATAATGTTCAAAATATTTGTTATAATTTTGGGACTCTACAACAATAGAGACAGTATGGTTTTAAATATTTTTGAGAAAATATTTACATGTCGGGACCAGCAGTTAGCGTAATGGCTGTTTTGCAAGACTCCCACGTGGTCAACCATGGTTGGAGTCCCGGACCCAGTGACTTAAACCCATGCCGGGCGTGTGTGCATGTGTGCCCAAGATCCCGAGAAGAGAATGAAGGAGAAGGGATTGCGGCATGGCCATCCCCCCTGGGGGTTGATTTCTTGCTTTCTGTCTCTCTGTCTCTCTCTGTCTGTCTGGCGAGTGCACGCGCCCTATAGCAAAAATCTCTCCAAAAAAAAAAAAAAAAAAGAAAAGAAAAGAAAAGAAAATATTTGCATGTCAGCTACTCAAACTTTTGAAAACCAAATGCCCAGCACACAAGTCACATATAAACCTTCTCAATTCAGCCCTGCCTACCAAGTATTCTGTGATATACCATCTTTTAGCAAAGAGCAGTCTCTTTTTCTTCCTTCAAAGCCTTCTTCAAGATAATCCCCTGGTTGTGGCTGCTCTTTTGCAGTCTCTACTGATTACAATGCTGGGCTGGAAACCTCCAGGTTATTTTATGGTACAAATTCTTTCGTGTAGCTTCTCTAATCCTCTCTTCCAGGCGGAACTGTTTATGGTGCCAGGCCGTCTTTCCAAAAGCTTCTGTTGGCTTACTTGAGATCCACCTTAGTTTCATAGTTTTCTGGTAAATCTTCAGATATGACATTCCCGTCAAAGCCCTGTCCAGTAACGAGTATTTTCCAATTTTGGATTCAATGCAAGAGGTATTATTATTATTATTGTTATTTTTTTCTCCTTTTTTGGAGAGGTTTTTGCTATTGGGTGCATGCACTCGCCAGAAAGAGAGAAAGCGAGAAATTATTCCCCAGGAGGGATGGCCACACTGCAATCCCTTCTCCATTCTCCTCTCGGGATCTTGGGCATGCACGCACAGGCGCTGGCGTGAGTTTAAGCCGCCGGGTCTGGGACTCGAGTCGCAGTTGACCACATGGGAGTCCAGTGACGTAGTCATTAGCGCATCCAGTAGACTACATGGGAGTTCAGTGACATAGCCATTATGCTAACTGTTGGTCCCCAAGAGGTATTATTGAACTTATGCAAATAACCCTTCTGCCACAAAATAAGAATACTCCCAAATATTTTCCAATTCCAGAGGGGTCAGGAAGGAAGAAAAGTTTATGTTTCCATTTATAGAAACAAACAAGAAAAAATATTTTAACAAATTGCTGAACCTATCAACAGCTCAAAAGAAAGCAAAATCCTTAAATTGGGAAAATAAAGCATAGTAAAAAAAAATCAGTAATGTTTTACTTAAAAGTCAAGAAATTCTATTTCACTAGTTCAGTCTTAGGTTCAATCTCTCTTCTGTCGAATTTGCAGTTACTGTGGTCCGGTCTTCCCATTTAAATCCTGGAAGTTAACAGTGAATGTTATTATTGATATTTTTTGTTCCTAGTATTAAGTTGGTCATTTTCTTGGTTGCTTTTTGCTCTCTTATTTCATTAATATGTGTCTTTTAGTTTTCCTGGTAGAGCATTCCTTTCAGAACTTCTTGAACAGTGAGTCTGGTATTGGCAAATTCTTTTAGGTCTTATTTTTCTGAGAGTGTTTTTATCCTTTCTTTCCATATGAAGGATAATCTTGCTGGGTATAGTATTCTTGGTTGAAACTGTTTTTCACTTAACACTTTGAATATATTTTCCTATTCTTTCCTTGCTTGCATTGTATCTGATAAGAGGTTCGGTGTTAGCCTAATAGGATAACCTTTATAGGTAACCTGATGTTTCACTCTTGCCAATTTTAGTATGTTGTCTTTGTCTGTGGATTTTGCCAATCTGGCTATGATGTGCCTTGGAGAAGATCTTGGGTTGATTCTTTGGTCTGGATATTTGAATGCGTCTCTAGATTTGGAAAGTTTTCTTCCAGGAATAGATTATCAATACCCTTATTAGTTTCTTCACCTTCTGGGATACTGATTATCTGGATGTTTGGGTGCTTAATGGTATCTAGTATTTCTCGTATAGTTTTCTCATTTTTTGGGTTATTTTCTCAGTTCTTTTGGTTGTTTTTTCTAAGTCAGAAGTTTTGCCTTCAAC